GGGTTTGAACCGCCAGCCTTCTGGTTAGCAGTCAAGTGTCTTAGCCACTATGCTACCAGAGCTCCTACAGTTTACATTTTGTTTATGCTGTTCCCCACTCTCTGCCTAGAGAAATCCTCCTCTAATGCCTAGCTCTAAGGCTACCTGCTTTGCAAAGCCTTCTTCCTCCCCTATGTCAAATGAATAATTCCTTCCTGTTGCCATATGCCGCTGGAGCTTGATGCAATATTAGCCATATTCCTTGAGAGGCTACCATATGCTAGCGTTGTGCTAGGGACTTTACACATGCATTGAATTTAACTCATCCCAGCTCTGTCAGGAAGATGTGATTAGTCTTGTTCTGTGGTCCAAAGTCCATTTTTATTCTGTGAGACCCTGCAGCTGCTGGCATCACAGTTAGCTTTCTACATATGCATTGTCCCATTGCATGGGCAGCCAGGGGAGGGACTGTTTCATCTGGAAACACCCTCCCCAATCAGGAGTCATCAAAAAGGATCTTGCACAGAGTAGGCAGTGATTATTGGTCTAATCATATGTAGTTACCACCTAGTGCCATAAGTGTGCCAGTCATAAATGATTGTATTAGCTATGCACTTCAACCACATTTAAAATAGAAGATAAAAGTGACCATCAAAAGGGAATGAGGAAACAGTAGCAAATAGTACTACAAAGATATCATCTAGACTAATACTAATTTAGAAAATGATGTGATGATAATAGATAATTGAGAAGAAAGGTCCAAATGAATGATTGTCTCTAAGTGTGTGAGAGCCTGCCTTGTCCCCTACCTCTTTTCAGGGAACAGCCCCTAAGTCCCGAGGCTGCCAGCTCTGCTCTGGGGACAGTCACACACCTCTCCTCCCACCAGCACTGATAGGTACTGGCCCTAGAGGAGCCCACCCGATTCACCCTCCCAGGAATCTGGGCTTGCTTATTCACCTCTGGGTGTGGCTAAGATTGTAGATAGACACAAGGGAAACCCAGATAGAGGAAGGGACCAGATGGCTTTTTTATTCCTGGTTCAGTCTCTGGAGACCTATATACATTCTTACCCTTGTGTCTGTGAGTCAGTCCCAAATTCTTACATTTCCGCTTTTTGCTTGAGTTGGTTTCTGTTAGTCACAACCAAAAAACAAAAAAAACCAAACTCATTGCCATCGAGTTGGATCCAACTCATAGCAACCCCTCCTTGGGTTTCCGAGGTGGTATCACTATGGAAGTAGACTGCCCAATCTTCCTTTTGAGGAGTGGCTGGTGGGTTTGAACCACCAGCTTTCTGGTTAGCAGTCACATACCTTAGGCACTACGCCACCAGAGCTCCCTTATTCACAACCAGAGTCTAAACTAGTGGTTCTCAGCAAGCGTGGTGCTGCCCTCTGGGGTGGGAGGGTGGGGACAGGGCTGTTACAATAATGTGGGGAGGGGTGTTACTGGAACCTAGAAGGTAGGGCCAGGGAGCTAAACGGTCTCCACAAGGAACAAAGGTTCTCTACCACATAGCCTCTGAAGGTACCACAAGACATTCCCAGAGGTGAAAAATCTGTTTGAATACCTGAGCCTAGAACCTCTATTTTACACATAAAAACACAAAATAAATTTTGCATAATATTAACAGTCACAGAATTGTCCAGAAATGCAAGTAAACCTAGGGACCTCTGTACTTTGTTCAGAACTTACCAGAAAAATCATGTCCTGACATGTGGTATTAGAGTCCTCGATACCACCCACTTAACTCTGTCTGTACTTGTAGCTGTCATGGGCACCTGTCTATATTTTAAAACAAACCAACAAACAAACCCACTGCCATTGAGTCGATTCTAACTCATAGCAATCCCCATTGGGTTTCCAAGGCAGTAAATCTTTACGGACGTAGATTGCCTCATCTTCCTCCCTGGGAGCAGCTGGTGGGTTTGAAACACCAGCTTTCTGGTTAGCAGCCAAATGGCTTACCCACTGCACTAGCAGAGCTCCTCTGTCTACATTTAGGTGTAGGCATCTGATCACTTCATTATATTTTGTAGTGTAGTCATGCTTCGAGGTCCCAGACTGAAGAACCAGAAACCTCTTGGGGAACCACCAATTCCTTCCATTCCCAGCAAAGGTTAACTCCCCGACCTACTAGACAGTAAACTGACTGCACAGTGGTCTAAGGAGGGCTGCAACAGGATAGAAAAGCTTCTGGGAGGAATGAACTCAAAGGAACAAACTCCATGTTGACGGGGTATTGGCCATACATTTTTCTCCCTAAGATCTTGTACAGCAAAACCAACCAGGTGCTTTGTTTGAAATGTCTAAGAGCATGGGATTGATTACGTAATTTATGGTCCATCCATAGTGGAATAATATGCAGCCATTAGAAATGATCTTGCAGATGGATGTTTATTGATAGGTGACATGGACTGAATTGTGTTCCCCCGCCCAAAATATGTATACCTATGTTGTTGTTGTTATGTGCTGTCGAGTCAGCCCTGACTCATAGCGACCCCTCCTTGGGTTTCCGAGGCAGTATCACTACGGAAGTAGGATTGCCCAACCTTCCTTCCGAGGAGTGGCTGGTGGGTTTGAACCGCCAGCCTTCTGGTTAGCAGTCAAATGCTTTAGCCATTATGCTACCAGAGCTCCTATGTATACCTATGGATGTAATCATTTTTGGGAACAGAGTTTTTGTTATGTTAATGAGGCAAGATCAATGTAGGGTGTGTCTTAATCCAGTCATTTTTGAGATTTTTTTTTAAAAAAAGAGTGATCAGGCACATAAGCAAGGAAGCACAGATGGGGAGGACAGATGCCACCCCACTGGTTCCAAGGAAGCGAGGAACAGAAACTGGAAAGAGACAAGGACCTTCCCCCAGAGCCAGCAGAGAGAGAAGCCTTCCCTTAGAGCTGGTGCCTTGAATTCGGACTTCCAGCCTCCCACAAGGTGAGAAAATAAATGTCTGTTTGTTAAAGCCACTCACTTGTGGTATTTCTGTTATAGCAGCACTACATATTAAGACAACAGGACATATTACCACAGTATACTGTTAAGTGAAAAAGTGGGTTACAAAGTAGGTGAGTAAGATATTAGCTTTTTTTGCTTAAAAAAAAAAAAAGATTACTAAGGGTCTGTTTCTTTGACTGGTAGAAGAGTTGCTTTAATTTTTTTTTTTCCTTTTGCTTAATTGTCTTTTCTAAACCATTGACCTTTATGGATAGCAGCTAAGGCATTTAGCTGCTAACCCTAAAGATTGGTGGTTAGAACCCACTAACCATGGAAGAAAGATGGGGCAGTCTGCTTCTGTTAAGATTTATAGCCTTGGAAACCTAATGGTTTCCCAATGGGGGTCTCTGAGTTGTAATTGACTCGATGGCAGTAAGTTTTTAATTTCTCTTCCAAGGAGCCCTCATGGACAGTGGTTAACCACTCAGCTGTTAATTGTAAGGTTGGTGGTTCAAACCTACCAGCTTCTGAATGGGAGAAAAGACCTGGTAATCTGCTCTAGTAAAGATTTCAGCCTAGGAAATGCCATGGGGCAGTTCCACCTTGCCGTATGGGGTTGCTATGAGTTGGAATCAACTTGACAGCCAACAATGGAAACAACAACAAATTGCTCTTCCACATATATAATGCTCTTGTAATAGTAATTTTAAAAACGTATTTTAATTTTTAGACATCGGATATTTAATTAGATACTGTGGGAGACTCTGAGCTCCTCAGTCTTTGTCCACCTGTTTGAGTCCCACCGCAACTGAAAGTCTACCATGGGAATATTCTCTCTGAATATATGCCAAATGGAAGTATGGGTGGGAGAACAAGTGAGCCAATGGCTGTCACACATACCTGTCTGCGTGAGCTCTCCCATCTCACAGAGCGGGTGATTGGGGTAAAGTGGAAGGGAGTTTAAGGGGCTTTCGAAAGAGGCTCCGGATCCTTTTGACATATGACTTACGAAAGCTTCCAGGTTAGGATGATATGGTTTCCTAAAGAGACAACACAGAGAATTAGTGGTCAGAGTGGCCCACAAAAGTCCACCTTTGAAGGTAACAGCCACAACCTGCAAGCAGTACCCCCACATGTGCCCTGGCATTTCTCATTCACAGTAACACTTTTAAATTCCAATTTCATTATTACTTAACCCCTGATACCTACACATAAAACCCCCACTCCATAAGCAGCTTGAGTCCCTAATATCTATTGCACTGACATGGCTCTTGGCACCTTGGGGTTTGGCTCTGCCCTCTAGCATTCTGTTCCAATCTCTGCCACCTCCTGTGCTCCCTTTCCAAGACAGCCACCAACACCCACCCAGTCAGTCATGCCCTAGGCTGAGAGTGTCCTAGATTTCTCCCTCTCTTCTCTTCCACATGCCATTTACTTCCCAAACCTGCTGACCTTTCCTCCTGGTATTTTCCCATCCTCTCTCCATCCCTACAACCAACAATGACGGTAACCTGTGGCATGCTGGTGTCTGCATGGCAATGGGCTTCTGCTTTTAATCTTTCATTCTCCACAGACAGACAGATCTACTTGAAAGGCAACTCTGACCCATTACTGCCCTTCCAGTGGCTCCACATCACCACTGTCCTTTCAGAAGGAGCCAGCAAAACCCTGTCAATCTCGTCTGGCCCCACCTCACTGTGAGGACTCGTCCCTCACAGCCATCCCCACTCCAACACTGGGCTCTGGCCACACAGAACCAACTTGTTCCTTTCCCCCAGCACATGCCTCCACGCCTTACTACATGCCATCCTTTCCTCATGAAAAATCCTACCCCAACCTTTACCCAGTTAACTCTTAATCCTTAATTTACCTGATCTCTGGAATACCTCCCTTTAAAACAACTGTTAATTAATTAAGATAACCAAGATCTCTATAGCTCTTTACAGTTCACTATGAACTCTGTAAGGAACTCTGGTGGTGTAGTGGATAAGGCATTTGGCTGCTAACCACAAGGTCAGTCGTTTAAACCCATCAGCTACTCTGCGGAAGGAAGATGGGGTGGTCTACCTCCATAAAGGTTTACAGCCTCAGAAACCCAACGGGGGTCTCTATGAGTCAGAATTGACTCGATGGCAGTAATGGTTTGTTTTTTTGCTATGAACTCTGTGGAGTCCCTGGTGGTGCAAACAGTTAATGAGCTCACCAATAATCAAAAAGTTGGAGAGTTGAGTCTACCCAGAGGCACAGCAGAAGAAAGGTGATCTACTTCCAAAAAGTCAGCCACTGAAAACCCTATGGAGCAGAGTTCTGTTCTGACACACAGGGGTCACCATGAGTCAGCACTGACACAAAGGCAACTTACATATTTTTTACACACATACAATATCTCATTTAATGTGGGGTGGTAATGAATATCTAAAAAACAGTTTAGTTAAGTGCTCTAGATGAAAACATTCTTTGTATCTCTGCTATGAAGAACATGTGGCAAGTCGAGATGTAATTTATCTTCATCTCTCATCACTAATATGCAATTTCCCTGAATAATGAAATGACCTATGAATATACACACATTTTCTCTCAATAATGAAATGATCTATGAATGTATGCACATTTTCCAGCTGAACACAAATGGACAGATAAAGTAGTTTGCAACTAAGCTGCATTAAGAATCAACATGAAAAGAAGCAAAGACAAATTGTTCTAATTCAGACCCCTGCTGTCTGAAAGCCCAATTAACTGTGGCAGTGCTTTTCACATAGCTGCCAAAGTGGCTTTATTATCTTTAAAAAACAAAGCTAAAAAAAAATCCATCTTTTAAAACACATGTTTTAAAATATTAGACAATGCTAATCCTGACACAAAGTATAGTCTAATAAATCACCCTAGGTTGCTACAGGGAATTATGTCTTTCCATAAAAACAGAGGGTGTATTATTTTGCCTGAAGGCAAACACATAAATGTTTGCAAACTGGGAAATAAAATTTCCAGGCTGACAATGAAGCTACCAATACGAACTGACGTCGACAACAGACTATCTGTCACTAGGAGTCAAGTGTTCCGCTGCAGGCCATTATTTCAGGCTGGTGATGTCTGACAATCTAAGAAGGCTTTGCTGCCAATTTTAGAGGTGGAATTACACTACTGAACGTGTTTGCGGAGATGCCCTAAGTATTCAGGGCATCTAAACTGCTTAATGATGCTTTGTTATCTAACTGTATTCATTAAACTTATTTTTCTCTTTTTTGGTATGGAAAGATAAAGATTCATAGGGTTGGGAGGGGAAATGTCAATTACAGAACAGGTAACAGAAAGAGGACCAAGTAACATCCAGCCCCTGGATCTGCCCTGGACGTGATTCCTTTGTCACCCTGGAGCTTAAAGTATACGCAGCACATGGTAGATACTCCAAAAACATGTGTTAATGAATTCAACCGTGAAATGCCTCCTTCATGGAAACACCCAGCCTTCTCTAATCTATAGCAATGAATGTACCAAGTTACCAGAAAAAAACAAAACAAAACAAAAAAAAAACCCAAACCAGTTGCTGTCAAGTTGATTCTGACTCATATGGTGACTCCACATGCCACCATGTGACTCCACAGGATTTTCACAGCCTTTCTTCTGATGTGCCTTTGGGTAGGTTTGAACTGCTAACCTTTCTGTTAGCAGTTGAGCACATAACTATTTGCGCCACCCAGGGAACATTACAAGTTACCACAATATTTATTAATCCATTCAGATTTTGGTGGAAATACTAAAAATAAAGGGTGTCATGGCTGAGACTTCTAGTTTTATACTAAAATCTATTTCCTTTTCTTCCTGGGAAGTTGGTAAGATCTCATTTCCTAGCTCTTTAGTCGTCAGACTGGTGGCACAATGCCTAAGACATTTAACTGCTAACCAGAAGGTTGGCAGTTGAAACCCACCAGCCACTCTGTGGAAGGAAGACTGGGCAATCTACTTCTATAAAGATTTACCGCCTCAGAAACTCAAAGGGGGTCAGTGTAAGTGTGAACTAACTTGATGACAGTGAGTTTGTTTTTTTGGTTTGAGTGGTTAGACAGATCCCAATGGAATGGAAGGATGTATATTACTTCTAGGCTTATGCTTTAAGACCATAGACATGTCTCTTTCACACTCTCTTCCTTTCCTCTGGCCACTATTCAGGCCTGGCAACAACTCAGGTTCAGCCATGTAGACATCCAATGGGATGGTGGAATCAACCCCCTGGAAGGCACCTAGGGCTCACTCCACAGGTCTATGTGCAATGCCATCCAATCCCACGCTTCAATAGCCATCTACATACTCAAGAGTCTCAAATAAACTTCCACCTCCCAGCAAGACAGTGCTCCTGTCTACAACGTTATTTGAAAAAAAAAAAAACAAAAACAAAAACTCACTGGCGTCGAGTTGGATCCAACTCATAGCAACCCCTCCTTGGGATTCTGAGGTGGTATCACTGTAGAAGTACATTGCCCAATCTTCCTTCTGAGGAGTGGCTGGTGGGTTTGAACCGCCAGCCTTCTGGTTAGCAGTCAAATGCTTTAGGCATTATGTCACCAGAGCTCCTACAGCATTATAGCCTACTAAAACAAAACCAAAACAAACAAACAAACAAACAAAGAAAACAGTTGCCATCCACTTGATTCCAGTTCATTAGAATCCTGTGTGCTACTGCCTAATATCTACTAGACACTGTCACTTGAATGTCTGATGACAGCTCAAACTTAGCACTGAAACCTATACTCAAAACTTCCCTCCCATACTTCCTTTGTGTCCTCTATTCCATGGTGGGAGCACCACAACCAGGCAGACAACTGATCAGAAACCTGTGCACCATCCTTCTCTCATTCTCTCATTCCTCCTCCAATCTGTCACCAAGTCCTATTGATCTCACCTTGTAACTTTCTCTTAGAACCACGCCCCTGCGCATCTCTGCTGCCACCCTGAGTTCTAGGTCCAACATTTATTAATTTAGAAAATACTTAATTCCTCCCATGTGCCAGGCATTGTCCTAGCTTCTCAGGACATAGTCGCAGCAAACAAAACAAAACAAATATCACTGCTCTCAGGGAGCTTATAGTCTAGAATGGGGAAATAGACAATATACAATGAACACCATTCACGTGTGTGTCTGTGTGACAGAAGGTAACAGATGCTGTGGGAAGAAGTGGAATAGGGTAAGGAGATCTAGGAGACTTGGTTGGAGGGATGGGTGTGAGGAGGTCTCATTGAGCAGGTTGACACTAGAGGAAAAACTTCAAGAAGGTGAGGGAAGTGGCCATAAAGGTATCTGGGCAATAGCCTTCCAGAGAGGAAAAAGTACAAATGCCTACACAGCAGCGTGCCCCAAGTGTCAGAAGAGCAAGAAGGGGTGTGCTGATGCAGAGTGACTGAGGGCATGAAGAGCTGGAGAGGAGGCCCGACAGGCAATGGATGGAGTAAGATCACAGAAAGCCTTCTAGGCTGTTAGAGGATTTGGGCTTGACTCAGCGTGAAGTCTTTCTTTGCAATTGTTATTACCATAATCACATAAACACCACTTCCAATTCAACACCCTCCACACTCTGGGTGTCAACGAGCATCATCCTCTCATCCCTTCACTCCCCAGCTTGAAATTCTTCACTGCTCCCTCACTGCCTGCATGCCTGAAGTCCACATTGCTGGCTGGGCGTGTGGAGCTTTGTTTGGATGACTAGTTCCCACTCACCTCTCCACTCCATGCTCAAGCCCTGCAAGACTAACTTTGGGAGATCCAGTGTGCTGAGCTGTCCACAAGCCCATACCTTTGCACAGTAGATCTCACTGCCCATGGGGCTGCTTATCATCAGCTCTATCTGCCTTGCTCTGCACAGCTTTTGAGTCCCTTTCTCTGGGTGGCCTTCCCCAATCTATCCCTTCCCTGCCCCAAGCTGAGTCAGCTGGCCCTCTTCTGGCTCCAACCACAAAATATGGGACCAGAACCACTTCTACTTCTTCTGCTTCCTCCTTTTCTTCCACTTCCTCTTTTTTTTTTTTTTTTAAACACTGTGCTGCTGCT